GCAGCATAATCTATTTATTTCGAACGCCATCGCTAAGAAACATCAAAGCGGGTATAGCGACATCTACTGTCACAAATTGTGATTCATTTTGGTTTATGAATTATTATTGCGCTATACAGATGGCAACCGTGTGCTACCGCCTAGAAAAACTCATGTGAAATAAACACTTCCATGCAACCAATTAACCTTTGACAAAAGTTGTGTTATGGGCAGGGAAACACCATTGTCACGTGGTACATAGCAGCTACGTGGAATAAGCGTATCTTCTGAGTCTTACACGTTACACATCGGAAGCTCCGCTTTTAGGCAGTGCCTAAATCTGAATATTATAAAAACGTTAAATGGCGATCATTTAGGTGTAACACCATCACTCGCCCACATCTCAGACTTTCACATCTCAAACATTTATTTTCACATAAAAAATTACACATATAATTATCAAGAGTATATAATGGGAGTTCTCCCATATATACTCTTTGTTTCTATAATGTACGTCGATGGTTGCTCAATTAAAACTGACTTCTTCTCACTCACTCATTTGTGTCCTTTTTTGTGGTGAGCTACAGTGTCATTGACACTTTCATTTACTTTTTAAAATTTTTGTTTTAGCCAGAACCATCTCCCAGACGTGGTGATTCTGAATATACCTTCAGTTTTCCACTAGGCTACGTAGTTCTCTAGTTGTACGAGTACACACAAAGTCAGCTGAACAACTTTATATAGATAGATACGGTGAATTATTGAGCTAAGTACCATTTTGAGCTCACCTTGACATCGTCAAGATGAGCTATTGCCATGGGGCGTCGTACATCCGTCCGTCCGTACGTCTGCCCGTCAACATTTGGCTACGGTCAACGATAACTAGAGAACCGTTTGACCCACATGTTTCAAATTGCATACAGTTGTTACTCCTATGGGAGAGATTTGAACGTCCTATGTTGGAGCACGCCAGTCGACCTACTTTCGAGCCACGCCCACTTTTTGGCAAAAATGAAAATGGCCATCTAGATTTATTTGATTTTTTTAAATTTACCTACCTTCCTATACCTACGTGTAATATTGTGTTTTAGATTTTTCGTTACAGTAATTTGACTGGAATATTTTATTGCTTTTATTTGCACGATAATTGAAAACCGAACGATCACTTAGCCGTACATCATCTACGACATCACATAGAAATCATCATCACGATTATTCAAATCATCAAAACGCCATTATAAAAATCATTATCATCATTATAATAATCATCATTAGCGATCATTTAGGCGTAGCGCCATCTCTCGCCCAGATTTCAGACTTTCAGATCTGAAACATTTATTTTCGCATCAAAACTAACCCTGAAACAAATCAGTGAAATTTCTATAATTAGTATAAAACAGGGAATAATGACATTTGATCACATTTTGGTCTGTCATAAATGAAACACTTGCCAAATTTTAAATATCATCTCCATCTTCTATCACACTCAAGGTGAGCTATAGTGTCATTGACACTTTTATTTATTCCTAAGATGACAGCGCAGGTGAGAGTGATGAAGGTGAATCAAGTGAAGATGACACACCAGGTGGTGGTGGTGACAGAAGAGTAGAAATATCGCAGGTAAAAAAAATCTCATTAAATCTTGTAACACTCGAGAGCTCAGTTTGCATTTTTTGTCTGTAACTTGCGCCGCGAAAGATTCGGTTTTGTTAATCGGTGTTCGTCATGATCTCCAGGTTCCGGCCGATGCAGCAGAAGAAATAAAAAATTCAGAAGCAGCTGTTCGTACGGATGATCGGTCTCGTAATGAGGATGCGGTCGGCTCTGCGGTGCACAACACTGATGCCGTAACCTCGGCAACAGACGGTGCGACGGCGCATCGGGAGAAAACTGGGAGGGAATCCGCAGCAGAGAACGGCAAGACGTTTCCCGAGTCCGGCGTCCAGAATGCCACCGACATCCCTGCAAACTTCATCTCAGCGAAAGCAGAGTGGGATGCTGTGGAGACGGCCATTCCAGGTATGTGACCGCGAGTTGATGCTCGTTTGTTTTCGAGTGCCGGAAATGTCAGCCGGCAATAGTTTTGCCGTACGTCTCCCAATGTGGAGCAATGCTTATAGAGCAAGAGCTGAAAAATAATGGGCAATACTTATAGTATAATATATAATTATAGCAGTAAATAATTATCTATCTATATAAAGTTGTTCAGGCGAATTAGTCCATACTCGCATAACTAGCATAACGCCGCAGCCGAGCTAGAGGAAAACTAAAGATATTTCCAGAATCAGCACGTCTGGGAGGTGGTTCTGGCTGAAACAAAAAAAAATAATTGATAAAAATTCTATTCATCAATAGATGCCGGCGGTACGTACGTGTGAATTTATGGTCTATACCCTTGACGGTGCAGTGCCTAAACGCTAGAACATCCGCTCTCCTACACCGCGATTCCGGTTCGAGTCCCAGCTGGGGAACTTATTTTCCCCTTTTTTCCTTTTTTCCCTTTACCTACCTCTTTAGTATGTATAATTTTTAATTGATTAATTATTTATTTATTAATTATTTTTTTAATTTATTAATTATTTTTATTTTTAATGTTTTTTTATTTTTTGATTTCTTATTTTTTTTTACTGTTTGGGATGGCAATGGGATGGGATGCGGTGCGATGGCATGCATGCATGCATGCAGGCAGGCATGGATGTTCATGGATGGCGATTGGGATGAATTATGGGATGATGTGCCACGGAATGGGCATGGATGGATGGATGCATGGTTGGATACTATGGAAGATAGATGGTGGATTTTTTGGGGTATTTCTTTTTCCAGCAAGCGGTCACCAACTGAGTAACGCCACTGATTTCCCGGGCAACGCCGGGTATCCTGCTAGTATATATATATATAGTAGCAGTAGTAGTTGTAGCGGAATTATTATCAGCAACATCTTAACAAGTAGCATTAACATGAGTAACAGCATTACAGCAGTACGATCAGCAGTAGTAGTAGTAGCAGCAGAATTATTATCAGCAACATCTTAACAAGTAGCATATAACATTGAGTAACAGCAGCTACGATCGCCATGAGTAGTAGTACAGCAGAATTATTATCAGCAACATCATAAAAGTAGCATTAACATGAGTAACAGCAGTACGATCAGCAGTAGTAGTAGTAGCAGCAGAATTATTATCAGCAACATCATAAGAAGTAGCATTAACATGAGTAACAGCAGTACGATCAGCAGTAGTAAGTAGTAGCAGCAGAAATTATATCAGCAACATCATAAGAAGTAGCATTAACATCAAGTAACAGCAGTACAATCAGCAGTAGTATAGTAGGCAGCAGAATTATTATCAGCAACATCATAAGAAGTAGCATTAACATTAGTAACAGCAGTACGATCAGCAGTAGTAGTAGTAGCAGCAGAATTATTATCAGCAACATCTTAAGAAGTAGCATTAACATTAGTAACAGCAGTACGATCAGCAGTAGTAGTAGCTAGCAGCAGAATTATTTATCAGCAACATCATAAAGAATAGCATTAACATTAGTAACAGCAGTACGATCAGCGAGTAGTAGTAGTAGCACAGCAGAATTATTATCAGCAACATCATAAGAAGTAGCATAAGTAGGAGCAATCAGTAGCATTAACATCAGCAGCAGCATCAGCTGTTGCCGCAAGTACTAGTCATTAAAGTCGGCGCTTACTCTCTCTAGCATTGATTTGATGAATGCATTTGCTTCTATTTGCAAGTTATGAATGGCCATTGTTGTAATTTTTCTCATTTTCCTAATGATTCACGCCCGTGACATTCAAACGCGAATTTAAATTTAAATTTTGATTTAAAATGAGTGGCACACATAATAATGATAATATAGTGTGCTTTGTAAATGGGTGATTTTTTCGCCGTGTTGCCGTGTGCTGCATGGCTCTGCCTGTATGTTTAATTTTTACAAGCTTGGGTTAGCACGTGACCGTGAATCAAGGTCACTGTTGTATCTACCTAGAAGTATTGAAGCAAACAAGTCCAGATCTGAGAACAACTTCCCTGCTGCGTTGCATCAGACTGATCAATAAGTCTGTGTGATTTTACGTTTAATTAATTTGGGTTACACCTGCCAACGGCGGCATGCTTTGTTCTTCGGACTGAAAATTAATTCCAAGTTCTTCAACGTTAAGAATCCTTTGATCTTGACATCTATTGATAAACAGTCTATTAACCGTTTCAACCGACAAAAAAGAAGTGAAAATGCTTGTACTTTGCATTGATGAATGAATATTAATTGAATTCACATTATCGTATATGGCAATTAAAAACCGCTGGCATTTTTCCCCGACTCCACTGAAAACAAATTTTGCACTCGCGGCAATTTTCGTTAGAAAAGCTTGTGCTTTTTTTCTCCTAGTTTTAATCCCCGAAAAACGTACTCAAAACGGGCTTGGCGAAATGTGAATTCTCCAAGCGTTTCTCTTGCGTAAAATCGACATGTGGCGTTGTTATATTCTGTCGGCATGTGCAGGAGTAAT